TGTAGTATATACTACATATTATGTTTCTGTTCTTGAAACTAGTCTATGACGTTAGGCATTCTTGAGAGTTGTCTTATTACATTCTATTGAGCTATAACAGAGGTATTATTGGGATTTTTTGTATTTTTGGATTAATGTGGTATTTATGGGCATTTATGTTCTTTTTATGTCCTTCCATAATGAATGAAATATTGATTGGGAGCTCATGTGAGATACATGCCTAAATCCTAATCTATCCTCCCATTCTTCTTTTCTTTTATTTCTACAAATCTAGGCACATGATCTTTCTACCAACAACCTGGTATCAAAGCATCACCTTGATGATCTGAGAGCCTCTTTTTCATCACCGATTTCCTACTATTCACACTTTGTACAAATGTAGTCAGCAGTCCCTCTATTGTGACAATAAGGCAGTTATAAATATTGTAGCAAATCCTGTCCCCCACGATAAAATGAAACACATCAAAGTTGACAAGCACTTTATAAGGGAGAAGCTCGAGAAGGGTCAAGTGTCTACTCTGATATTCTTACAAAAGGACTTCACTATTTGAGGCACAATGAACTATGTGACAAGTTGGGCATGATTGACATGCACAACCCAACAGTCCAACTTGAGGGGGAACGTTGTATTTTTCTAGTAAGTGCCACAGGGGTGCCACAGAGCACTATTGTAATTTTATTTTATATTGGCTGTTCCCCTATTGTAGAATATGTTGTTCTACAATGCTTTGCAAGCTCACAACTTTCACAAATCTCAAATTGGACATCTGAACAGACTCGAACAAGTTAGGAAACAAACTTTTCAAAGACCTAAAAGATAAATGATCCAACTGGTTATGCCAAAGCATAACCTGACTAACAGATTGAGAAGCAAAAGACCTCCTAGCTTTACTATTTTCCCAATGAGATCTCCCTCCAAGAAGATAAATTCCATTCATCTCATGGCCAATCCCAATCACCTTCCTCGTCTGCAAATCCTGAAAAACACATCGATCAGGGGAAAAGGTCACTGAACAATTCTGGTTTTTAGTAATGCTACTAATTGGAAGCAAATTAGTACTAAGTTTAGGAACATGCAAAACTGAAGACAAAGAAATGGCATTAGACAACTTGATGTCTCCCGTGCTAGAAATGGGAACAAGAGAGCCATCAGCAATAGACATTTTGTCTCTGCCAGAAGATAAGTGATAGGTAGTAAACAGTGAGGGCAAGCCAGCCATACGATTAGATGCACCTGAGTCTATCACCCAATAGTGTTTAGTGTTACCTGGAGCTGAAGCATGATAAGCTGAGGCCCGTGTACCTGAATGAGCAAAAGCTGTGGGAGGAGCTGATGACGGTGTTGACAGCTGAGATGATGGTGCTGAATTACCAACTTCACTCTCCAACTGAGTCAGAGCAGCTAGAGTGTCTAGTGATGTGCCTCTTGTGCCTGATGAAGTTGCACAATCAATAGTAACAACCACATTGGCATTTCCCCTTTTGTTTATGAGTTTTGCTGGAACTAGATGGGGATGCAACTTCCAACATGTGTCTTTAGTATGCTTAGGTTTCTTGCAATGTTCACATACTAGGTCCCTCTTGTCCTCCTTCTTCATATCCCTACTCTCTTCACTGTGCACTAAGGAGTAGGCTTGAGATAGGGTCACACTATCTCTCGTTAGTAGTTGTTGTTTCACAATATCATATTCAAAATTCAGACCGGTTAGGAACTCAAAAACCCTATTAGTTTCAACTTGCTTTCTATAAGTCTATGCATCCTTCTGACTTTCCCACTCAATTGTTTCTAGGTGGTCAATTTCATGCCACAAGGATTTCAAAGTTGAGAAGTAAACCGAGACTGGTTTCTCTCCTTGCTTAAGATTATTAAACTCACATTTCAGCTCATAACCCCTAGAAACATTAAGGGGTTGGGAGTAGGTCTCTTTCATGATGTCCCAAATTTCCTTAGCTGTTTTTGCCCATAAGTAGTTTCGGCTGATGTGGCTGCATGGACTTGCATAGCCATGTCATAACCAAATAGTTCTCCTGAACTCTTTGGCATAAGTTTCATCCTCCTTAGTTGGTTCCTTCACATCAAGCAACAAATAATTCAGTTTTCCTCTACCCCCAATGGCCACCATAGCTGATTGGGAACATTCTAAGTAATTTGATCCATCAAACTTAATAGTTGTAATCTGAAAGGTGTTCTCAGACATGTTACCAGAACCACTAGCCCCCAAAACACCTTCCCCTTGGTTCTTAAACTCCATTCTTGGTTAAGATGTTAATCAAAAAACACTATTTTTATCACTGTGATAAGAGAAACTGCACCGAGAAATTGATAACAGCCGACATAGAAGGATGAATTTGGTTCGGCAACTATCCAGAAAAAATAAACAGCTCTACTAGATCTCCAAAGAACAAGAGCACTCAGTCTGGAATAAAAAAATGGTCCAACTACTGCCCAAAATTAACAGCAGTCTTGAATTTCAGGGTTTTATCTTAAAACCCTAAAAAACTCAGGAGAAGAGAGGAGATTTCCCAACCGCACCTCTCAGAATAAGCAAAAATAATCTTTTTTTAGCTCAATCTCAAGAAAAACAACTTCATGAAAAAAACTCTTGCCGCCACCTTCAAATTGATATCTGAACCCTAATCTTGAGGATTCGTAACTGCTTCTGATTCTTCCTGATCACTGGATCTCTCCAAGACTCTACAATCTCTTTAGTAGCAGCCTCACACTACCAGCAATCTCCAAGAACCAGCCAATGACCTTCTTTCTGCTGAAACTTCCAAACCTTGGAGGTTCTCATGTAGTCGGCCCGATTAGACTAGCATAAGAACTCCTAGGTTGGGTCTGGTACCAAGTAGTCGAATAGGACTACAATCTGTACTAGGTTTAATGACAAATTAACAAACAAAGATTGAAAAGAGAGAAGAGGATAAGAGAAGAGAAGAGGAGAAGAACTTGAAGAAGGGAATTCAGAAAAGAGAGAGAGACAATCGACAGCCGCCCCACTCTTACAATTTATATTAATATTTGAATGAAAGTAAAAGGGCTGAATTACCCTTACTGCTTACATGGCAAAATAATAAAAGAAAACTAATAACTATAAACTGAAATAAACTACCAACTAACAAACTGAAATAACTAACTGCTAACTACAGTCTAACTACAATCATATGAACAAAGTGGGGACCACATCAGTGTTATCTACAATCAGCAAAAGAATTCCATTCATTAATTAATTCAGAAACTTAGTACAACTGTTATAGCAATCCCATGAGCCCCTATTTACACCAGATTACAACTTTGCCCAAAATAAAAGAGGATCAACTCCTTGTTTTGCTAAACATCTGCCATCCCATTTGCAGTCGTTACCCAGATGAACTTGGAATTAAACCTCTTTACTAGAAACCAGGTGATGAAAGAAATCTTGATCAGATTTCTAATACACTATGTACTCTGGCTGATCCTAGACTTGCATGGATCCTACCAGAAAACTTTTGAAATCTGCTCTATACCAGCTTGTTATTGAAGTCAACAATAAGAGAAAAGTAAAATCAAGTAAACAGGTAATTAATGGAGGTAAAAACCACCTTTCCAGTTTCCAGACCATGGAAATAACATTAGTTTATACAAACCAGGAAACAGAGACGTCAGAGACCTTTTCTTGTCCCGTCAGTTCTGCAAGATGACATAAATGGTAAACATATGTACTGACCTTAGAAGAATAATCAGAAATATTATTGACATTAACTGTTAGAATGTTAAGAGTGATGTTCGGCTGATAAGAGTTCTTATTAGCC